TGGAAACTATAGAATGACTTCCCTGTTATTATTTAACCAAAGAATCGAGACTGGCCACAAGTAGCAGTGAGGCATTAATGCACGAGCTAAGTCTTTGTGATACGAAATATCAAAGGGAAAGATAATTAAGAAACAATTTTGACTGAATTAAATACAACTGATTTGCCTAACCTGAGTTATGGCACGTGGAAGATGGCTCCTTCTCCACTTTCAGGACAGTTGCAGAAGAGGTTTGGTCACCTGGTAGCAGGACAGAAGCAGAATGTTGTGCCTGTGGAAGCATCCAAGCTGTCCATGCATAAACCACATATTATTGACAGGAGGCAATGGCAGGGGACAGTAGTGGTAGGTTTCCATTTGTGGTGAACAGAAGCCCCCATCTGCCTCCTTGGCTTGCTATCTAGATCAATTCATGGCTTGCCAGGGGCACAGATCCAAGGTGTAGCAGAGGAACTACCACAGATCTTGGGCTATCACTCCCTGCTGCTTATCCACATGGGTGCCAACAACATTGCCAGAGGAGATCAATGGGGTCAAGAGTGCCTACAAGGATCTGAGAGCGAGGATCAGGAATTATAGGCTGGCCAGCCTGCAAAAAATCCTGGACCAAGGCTCCTTGGAGCACATTTCTGGGCCCATGCAGAAGATAGTAATTAGGAAGAAACATCATGGGTTTACCAAGCATCAGTCATGCCTGAACAACCTGATTGCTGTCTATGATAAAAAGACTGGACTTGCGGACAAAGAGAGAGCAGTGGATGACTTTGACCTTGTCTTTAGCACTTGTCAGCCCTTTTTAAAACACGCTTCCTTCTCTCAACTTAAAAAATAAAAATTACAACCAACAAAGTTCTGTAGTATTTCTCTACCAGTTAGCACATGGGTCCTTAGTTGCTTCCGACCACAGTGAGTTGGCATGGAAGATGGAAGAAGAACTCACACAAACAGTTATGTGAGTCAACATATGGCTTTGCCCTGCTGCAGATATAGGGAAGATATTCTCATTTTTATTTCCATGAAAAAACAATGCAGATTTCCATTGTATTGACAGATTTTTCTCCCAAATAGAAGTAATGGTCCACACCGAGATCTTTTGGTGGAGGTCTGCAGTCCAGCTGAGCGGATATGGGCTGGCAGAGCACCTGGGGTAATGCCACAAATGAGGAGAGGAAAAACAAATAAAGTATCAACAACAGGACATGAAACTGAAGAGATCAGAGCAGTAGTTGTAGAAGAAACTTTCTGAGCCTCTGGTCACCCGGACAACACCAGTCACATTTCTGGGATCACCAGCAACATTGCACCTGCAGGTTTAAAGCATTGTCTGGAGACTGCAGTCTTTCCTTGCTCTTTGGCCGAGAGCACATTCACCTTCCCCTTGTCTTTCCCGTACTTTTCCCATTTGGGTAAGTAAAGGCATTGCATAGAGATCTGCTGACATCTTGAGAACCTTCTCTGTCACATGCCATCAACACTTATGACTCTCCTTGACCTCCACCACTGCTTTTGAGGTCTTCCCTTTCTAGGCAAACTCATCCAAAGACTTCTGCTGCAGATCTCTATAGGTGATGCAACATGCCCATCCCTGAAGGGCACTAAAGCCACTCCACTCTCCCCACAGGCACACTCACATGGGTCTGACCAGACCGTTCCCGTTTCTGTAAGTAGTTTCTTCCAGAAATTGCCCCAAACTTCAGGGTGCTTTTTGACAGCAGTGAGATACTGGATGTAGGAATAGGACACAGGTACTTGCTTTCTGTGTGAGAAGACCTATACCTTCATCAGCACATGGAAAATATTCCCTCATCTGGGACAAAAGCTCCACAGCTGTCCAACTCCTGAAGACAACAGCAAGAACACAACCACAGAACAGACTTCTCCCCATGCTGGCAGCCCATCCACACCTTTGCCTTTTAGCTCTACCACCTCTCTATGTTGATGCTGACCTATTTCTCTATCATCTTTTTTCTATAATAATTACATCTAGACCAATAATGATTCCTGAATTAGACTTAAGATTTTACTTTTGCTAACAATAACTCCTTGGCCTTTATATACAAGGTGTGTTTCCTCTTTGCACATAGACTTGAACACAACATCACATGAGTGGGTTTGAATCTGTCTGTATTGAGAGCCTCCACTGATAGCTTTTGATCTGGGATCTTTACCAGTTTCCATTGCAATCGTTGATATTTGTCTATGTGTTGCTTGCTACATGTCTAAATTTTTGCTTGTCTGTACATAATATTTGCTTGTCTGTACATAATATTCCTTGCTTGGATTGTTTTACTGTTTCTATACACATTTAATTACAATGCTTACGATTATAATTCACATTTGGCTTCTATCACAAAGCAGAGACATGCTCCCAGCAAATTATTATTTACAACAAAACTGGTGAATGTCACAAAGGTGAGCTAGGGATTCATAAAGTTACATGTATTTAGTAGTAAAATAAGTCACTGTGTTCCATCCACTGTGTAGTGATTTCTACAGCTACAGCCTATGGTATCTCCTGTGCATGCTGACTTACATAGTGAAAGTGTAATTAAATAGGTGATCATTGGAGCTACAGCTGCTCTTTAAGCTTCTTAGTATTCAAGTAAAAGTAAGAATGAGTTATTTCATTAGAAGGAGGGAATCAATTTCCACCTATATTCTGGTTTACAAGGTTAGTAGCACTGCATTTGTGTTAAGCATGAACATATATATCACTTTGGCTTCTCTTTGTTTCAGAAGTGGAACTGGTCTGGGAGTACCCAGATGACCTTCTGAGAAGGTCAAAGTCCAGGAAGGAAGAAGTGGTATTAATAATTCTAGCAAGGCAAGGAGTTATGCACTCAAGTGTTGTCCAGTTATCCCTCCTGGTGCCTAGATTCAAATTTTATATTCTCAGAAGTTCTATTTTGCTTGATGCCTGAGCCATAAAAAATCTGGCTAGAAGTGTCAATGTTTATATGCTAACAATTCCTGTTCTTTCAAGTCCTTTGGGGGATGGTCTCACCCAGTACACAGACAGGAGCCAGGGAGGAAAGAGAACACAGTGAGTAGAGAAAGCAGTTCTGTCATCTCTTTTATAAAAGAACCCTGAGGTTGACATCAGAGACAATACTGCAGAGACAGTGTTTCTCTGCCTGTGGAAATCAGAATCTAAAGCTCTTTTTGAACACTCACTCCATGAAACTTCATTCCAGTTTCTCAAGTGGCACTTCACAGGCTAATTTGAACTGCAAGCAACCAACAAGTATCCTGCTGATAGCAGGAGTCTTTCCTTGCACCAAACTTCACAGGATGTGATAAATGTGTCTGAGTGAGGGAAGGGCCAGAGATCACTTTTAGGCTTTTGCAGGAAGACTGGAGTGAGCAGAACTGGCTTACTACTGCTCAATCCTTGCTCCCTCAATCCAACCCTTTGCATGTGCATATTCACCTTCCTTTAATCTGTCAGACCTTACCTCCACAAATAAAAGGGTGGAACATTCCTGATACCAGGAAGTCTGAGATGAAAAGCCCTCAGCATCCCAACCTGTCCTACTATGTATGAAATAATTGTTGATTATTGAATCAGAGACTTATGGCAACTATAAATCAACTTTTAGAACACTTGCTTAGAAGCTGCTGAATACCCAATATGACAGTGATATATTCAAAAAAGAAGGACTGTGACCCTTTCAATTAAAGTAATGAAAATCAATACAAAACCCAATGACAAAGGTGATATTAATTTTAAACAAAACTTATTCTCCACCCATCCTATCATTCTTTCCTCAGTTTTACTCATATAAACATATACACTAGTACTATGGGATGGATCGCTTCTGCTTAACATGAAGAACAAGATGTGCCAGCCGGTGAATCCCTGCTATGTATTCTGAAATCTCTTTGCTGGTAGCTGTATTGGGCCACTTATTTTGCATCCCTCAGGAGTCCCCAGTTACTGAAGCATAATCTTTTGCCTCAGGAATTCACTTACAACAGCCTCCAAAATGTTAGGCAAGGCAGCTGCCCATTTTCTGTTATTTCCTCATTTTGGGTGTCTTGTGGCTGCAGTCTGTCTTCCTGCTGGAATTCCAGGATGAGAGGGGCACAACCCACATGATATAGATATGCAGGCATTCTCTTGTGGCCAGAGTGCCAGTCTTCCACTGCCAAGGCTCCTTCCTCAGCTGCTACTGATTTTATTTCTGTCCCATACACCCTTGGCCATTGATGCTGGCCATTCTCCCAACCTGTGCTCTAGTGCTTTTTGGGGTGCTTTCATGTAGATCAGTTTCTGTTCATGCTGTCATCTCAGTCTGTGTATTTCTGTTTTTTTCCTTCAGCCTGGGTGAAGGCATGACAGACTTTGAGAGCAGGGCTTAAAGCACATGCCTTGGCTCAACTCTCTCATGAGCTGGAGAGATTTTTAAGGTGCTGGGCTTTCTTCTGTGTTATCTGTAGGCATCAGAATGCATGGGGAGAATGAGTATATTCCTATTAAGCCTTCCAGAGGCACTAACTTAAACAAGACCAGTGGACTATAGATGCATATACACTTCTTCCAGCTATGGAACCAGACCAGAGATGTCAAGTGTAGAAATTCTCCTTCTGGAAGAGTTCCATAGGGAAAGAGGAATCAAATATCAAATTAATGTCAATAGTTTTCCACCATCTCCCCCTTTTTACTCAGCTGCTTAAGCCTTACTGAAATACAAGGAAAAATAAACCACAGAACAAAGCTCATAGAGTCAAATAAATTATTATAACAACTCACAGACAAAATTCTTGTTTTTCAAAACTCATTTCAAAACCTCATATATGGAGACACAGTCCTTAGTCTCAAGTCTTTGAGAGACCACCGAAAGACAATACAGTTTGTAGATGTGAGGTTTGGAATTTCTAAAGCCAATCTCTCCTGAAATACTTTAAAGTTTGATAGATGTACACAGAGCTATAGAATTGCATGTGCGAGAATAACAGTACTTCCTGCTGGAACTATGCTTATCTCCATGGCAGCCAAGCAATTAAGAAAAGAATAAGCAAACATCTACTGCTGTATACTTCTTTCCCTCAGCCCTCTTCCTGTTTTTTGTTATTTGCCAGCAATATGTACTATGATGTTTGGATCAGAAACATCAAGGTTAAAAGAACAGTTACTGAACAGGGCAAAACATTTTATATCCAGCCCTTCAAAGTTCTGTTCCTGCTGGAGGTATTCAGCCTGATCCTGTCCCACCTGGAACAAGGAGGGACTAAGGAATGAGTGCTGTAACAACTGGGTATCAGCTATCAGCTCTTTCCAGAAGGAGCTCTGCCAAATCTTCCACTTCACATTGGCAACTAATTGGCCCCAGCCCTAACCTCCTTTCCCTCATCACACAGGGGTGTCTACATCTTGTGCTGTCCTACTGTTGGCACTGTGAACCCTTGTGACCCATGGCCCCTTCTCTGGTTGCTGACACAAACTTCTCCACACAAGCAGAGGCTAGAGAGTGAGACTGCACAGGAAAAATATGTAGAGGGATACAGTATGGCTAAATGAAGGTGGTATAGAATGTAATCTTACCCCCTAAAGAGTTGCAGCTGAGCCAATTATTAGAGATTAGGAGCAGGCCTGATTTTAACAGGCTACAGCTGTAGCCAATAACAAGAGTGTTATAAAAGAGCGGACTGGTTGGTTGAGGGGAACTGGAGTTAGTTGGCTGCTGTGAGGATAAGGAAGAGTCAGTGCCTAGAGGAGCTCTCTACAAGGAACACCAAGGAGGTATGAAATTCTATCAATATGGAACCTTTGCAATGTAATGACAATAGAACTCTTCCACTATAATGACAACAAAAATAGAATAAAGAATATTTTAGGAAGAAGGTAAGAGAAACTGCAGTTGAAGCAGGACTTGATTGGACAGCCATATCAACCAGCAACTTGCTTATACATGGCTGTCCTCATCTATCCACGCTTTTATCCATTTTCCTATGCTTCTAATTCCTGCCCCCCACCTTGATCCATCTTTTTTCCCAGCCTTGTCTCCAAAATAAACAACTGTAGTTACTTTTTCCCCATTGGTTCTGGTTTTGCTACATTCATAACCACAACTGGCATTTCTGATACCTTTAGCTCTCATATCTCAACCTTACATGATACAGAACTATTAAGGTTGGAAAAGACCTCTAAGATCATCCAATCAAACTGTTAACCCAGTACTGCCAAATCCACATCTAAATCATGTCCCCAGGTGCTACATTTACACATTTTTAAATACCTTCATGGGTAGTGACTCTACCACTTCCCTGGGCAGGTGTTCCAATGCTTGACAACCCTTTCTGTGAAGTTTTCCCAAACCTTTACAAGGTTTAATAGATATGGTAACATGAACACTGAGGATTTTTTCCCAAGATTGCACTCCCCAAAAAGACTCCAACGTTGCCTTCCAGTTCTCTTAGAGTTACCTGGGAAGTTTGTCCTTCTCTCACACAGTTCCCTATAACCAGCTGTGAAATCCAGCTGTTTTTCATGGTGTTAAAACAAACTGTAATGTTTGCCAGCTGCTCACTTTGCTGTTTGTTATGTTTGGCAGTTTCTCTTGTTATGTTCCCTATTTTCTCATGTTCTGTTCCATTACCTAAGCCTCACCATGGGGCCTAGTCATCCTTGTAATGTATTTCAGTGGGGAAAGTAATCCATAATGTGTCCCGGTGCAGAAATCACAGCAGAATACAAATAATTTGTCCCATAGATGGAATCACAAAAAACATGATTGGAAAGGATTTCTGGAAGTCATCCAGGTGAGTCTTGAGAATTGCCAAGGCAGGAAATTCACCACCTCTTTGGTCAACCTGTTTCAGTGCTTAACTGCTCTCACCATGGAAGAATTCCTTCCATACACATCACTGGCAGTTCCATTGCTCTGCTTTGCTGCTGAAAAATTTTCCTCTTGTCGTTTCACTGCGCACATCTGATCCAGGTCTGGTGCAAAGTTCTCTTTAACAGCATGAGAGGAAAGTTTCTTCCCGTATCCTATGAAGTCCACTTTTCTGCTTCTCTGGTTCAGGACAAAGATGAGGTTAAAAAAAATCAATTAAAATTAACAAATTACTTAATGAAAACAAAAGTCAGCTGCCTTTCCTCATAAATGGTTCAAAGGCCATATCACAGTTTTCAATTCTGTGGAATCACTTCCCCTAAATCAAGGCTACCTCTTGTACAGGGAGAAAAGGAAGGGCGAGAGCCTTGGGTTTAGAGCAGAACAGGGAGGGAAGTTATTCCAAAGCTTTAAATTAAAGATACTGTCAGAAAAGGAACTCTATACCTGGCTAAGGATGTTAGTATTGTCTGAGTTGCTAAGCAACTACATAAGTTATAAATTTCAACATTAAGTAAATTCTGTTATTTCAGAATTCAAAAGTCTACTTTGTATTATTTAGAAAAACCAAAATGTACTTTGTAGTGATAGAGTACTTCTCAGTCTTTCACTTTACAGAAGCCTGCCACTAACATATAAAGCTCATACACTGGTTAAAAAATACAAAATTCTTAATCCAAATGCGGATACCCAGATAGAAGCAGATTTTTTTTTTCCTCAGTTTTTCCTCTTTCCTTGAGATGTTTTAATGTCACCAAGCTTGAAGTTGATCTCTATCACTCAAGTCCTTCTATTTTTTTGTATCTGCATCTCTGTCAGCTTATGGCAGAAAGATGTATTATAGTAATCAGTGTTCTGCTGAAGGTACAGCATCTTTTTTGATGCTTATAAGATTTATGAGCTAAAACAAGCCCTAGTCAGCATAGATGTTAACTACTTCAAAAAATGCTGTTGAAATCATCTGTGAGTACGGTGTTTTTTTTACTTTTTTTTTTTATGCTGAAATAGGCACCAAAGCATATTGAGACATTTTGGTTGTTTCCTCATGGTAAAGAAAAAAAAATTAATCGACATGAAAAAAGAGAAAGCCACACAGGATAAGATGTGAAATCATTTAATAGAAGATCAGCTCTTAATACATTTGCAGATGTAAGTATTTACTTATGACCTTTTGTGATTTGTACTGTGTAAGAAATTCATACCACATACTTAGAAGTAACACATAGATCATTGCATAACTTCTCATCAGTTAGAATAATTGTGCTTTTGATTGTACCATGAATACGATAGGCCAAATGATAATTGTCACCTAGTGAAAGCTGGGGAGGTTTTACAGATCTCAACAGACCAATTTATACTGGTCAAGCACCTGATTCATCCTTCTTCCTCCTCTCCTGGCACTTCCTTATTGCTTCTTTGGGGAAGGAAGGTAACTTCACATTTGCAGTCTATCTAGGAATTTGTTTATTTTTAAATAAGGAAAAGTTTCTCCTGGGTGTTATTTGAGGGTGAACAAGAGCCTCAGAACTTAATTCAAAAAGCAGCTCTTAAGCACACAGTTGCATCATGAATATTTATCTGGCTGCGTGCAAAAGCTCTGAATATCTTGGCTACACTGCTCTCCTTCTGCATGAGACCCCCCCCCTTTGTTGGGAAAACGCTGCCATCGCAACCAAGGGCAGCAGAAGGCGAGGGGGCTGGCAGGCAGGGAGAGAAAGCAGGTTGGGTTTTCAGGCTAATTACAAGGTTTTGTGTTCTGGGTCACCTTGTAAATGAGATACGATGCTCAGAAAGCTGCAGCCAAAGCTGCTCGGCAGAAAGTGGAGCACACGCACAAAGGTTCTGCTGGTGTTTAGCCTTTCTTGAACACAACCTGCAATTTTCATGGTGAGCAATTACAATGGCTCTAGAAAATTGGTTCCTAGGGCATCTTGCTAAATAGACTAAAGTTGTTTTTATATGCCAGGCTGTAAAACCGTTCACTCTGGGTCTGGTGAGTGAGCTGTATCAATAGACTTCTTCCCTCAGAATTCTTTTGACACACTTGCTAAAATGCATTAAAATTAATTTTAACACAGCCTCAACGAAACAGATTTGAGCAGCTTTGCAAGCTAATGCTGCTTCAAAACATTTTGTCATATTGATCAGTTTAGCACTCCTTCAGTTCAAGGCTGGCATGGTTTCTGATTATCTGTACTGCACATGGAAAACATTTCTAGGCTATCTGAGGAACAGATCTGAAGGCAGCTGGAGTCTGATTCCTACATCTCCTCTGCCTGTGGCCTGTGCTTATGTTTTTCATTCACCTTATAATTCTGCAACTTGAACCACATTTGCCAAAGGAATATTGCGAAAATTAGTATTTTCACTGCTCTTTGGTGGTGCCTTACCCTCACTCCTGCTATTTTCTGGATGACAGTGGGACAGTTGTTTATTTACACAGTAGGGTTCTATTTTCAAATGCTGCTTCACATAAATGAGCACCAAGGGCACTTTCATTCTTAAAACACTGTACAGGCTGTATCTAGACTCAGACCATACCAGGGCTGATGCCTGACACAAGGTACGGATGTTGTGGGGACATGAAATTGCAGACAGGACTGTAAGAGCACTTTGGGGACCCCTCAGGTAATTGCAGCCTGCACACCTGCACCTCAGCTTTACCTGTGCAGCTCTGCAAGGAGAGGATTTGCTGCTGAATATTTTCAGCCCTGGGGGTTTTTAAAAGCTGTGTAGATGTGGCACTTAGGGTACAGTTTAATGTTGGACTTGGCAGTGCTGGGTTAATGGTTGGACTCAGTGGCATTAAAGGCCTTTTTCCAATCTGAACAATTCTATGATAGTGTTTATCTGAGGTGTTGATGAGGACATTGGGATGGACTTCTGTCCCTCACTATTCCCAGTCTGCCCCTCACAGACTATTCCCAGCACACCACTAACAAAACTTACTCTCTTAGGGTTTTGGCTTTGTTCCTGTCTGCCTTGAGGAACACGGATAAGTCACAGAGAAAAAACAGAGAGAAAAACAAGGGATACAATGAGTCATCACTTTGATAGCTCAGATCAGGCACATAACTGCTAGAGCCTGCTCATAAATTTGGGGGTCACAAGGTTTAGTTTACATCAGAGCCATCATGTCTAAAACCTACTTTTGGACTCTGCCTGCTTTTTAATGAAAGATTTTAGCCTAGCTTAACTTTTATAACTAAGACAAAGAATGCCTGAGTGAAACCTTATGTTCTCCAATAATAAGAATTTCTCAGGAATGTAGTAGGGCTGGTAAGATGATCTTGTCTCTACTAGCCTTATACATAAGCATTTTATTAAGTCCTTTATCTTCTTTTGAATTCTCTGGGTTTAATATTTATGGTCACACTCTGGTTTTGCGCTTTTTTTTTTAATCTTAATTGCAGTTATACTAAAGGTTGCTGTTGTATAAGAGCTTCAGCTGTATAAAAAATCCAGTCAATTTTGCATATTCTCTCTGCAACAATAGGACAGCATCTTCCTTTAAAATACGTCAGTCCTTTGAAATTAGCAAGCAATTTGTTGGTCAGTGCACCTAAACACTAAAGAAGCAGTAAATCAATCCTTGCCCTTGGGTCCCTTGGTTCCACAGTAATTGCAAAAGATGCAAAATTAAACAAGATTTTCATTCTAGTGAACAGAGACAATTCAGACCAATGGAAGAATGGGACAATATTGTCTATTCCTCAGGCAAATCTAAATTGCTCATCCTGCCCTTACTAGGGCTGCCTCAGGACTGTTGCAAAGACAGCTACTATAAAAATGGACCAGAATAGCCTTTTGCCTCATCATCACATCTCCCCAAATACTGCTGCCTCTGCAATACTTTTTTCTGTTGCTATTCCCAGGAGATAAACCAGCTTCAATAATTTGCAGCAATTTATAATTATTGATGAGTCTTCAGGTTGCCTTCTTTGAAGGGAATATATATCCCATTAACTATGTATTTGATTATTAGGACCCACTTCAACCCCCTCTTATTCTACTGACAACTGGACAAAATTGTGTGGAAATTGTTCTGCAGTTTTCTAGCTCTGCAGTTTACCAGATCACTTAGAGAAAACAGACCAGCAAAATTGCTCTAATTCCTTTCAATTTTTAATAGCTCTCTGTGCTGGGGCTTTAATCTGTATGAAATTGCTAAAGCACTAAGTAAATAAAGCAGCTGTTACAGCTCCTGGAGCTACAATATGGCCATGGCTTCCTGGAGAATGTTCAATACTACTACACATAGTACATATAGTCACTTATAAAAAATATAAGTTAGTAGAGAATATAGAATTATAGTCAAAAAAAGGACTCCTGGATTCTTACATGAGAACATATCAGTACTGCATGACAGTGTGGTGTGGGACCATTACAACCTGACAGATGCACAATTCCAGGTTGTGTAGGGCTGGATGACTGCATACCTGTATATTTAAATACCATTTTTATATCTGTTTACACTTAATTGCTAACATGTGTCTGTTTAAATGATTGTACAACTGCAGGCTATGATAGTTTGAACTTTTACATATTCATTTAAATGTGTCTGTGTTTACTTGACCAGCCCCAGAGTGCAGATAAGAAGATAAGAAAAGGAAATGCCAAAGCTGTGAGACATAAATTCTTTTTTTCTGTACTTTTCAAAATGCATCTGATGTAGTTCCCAGATGGCTTACAGGGGTGAATTAACAGGCTACAATATTAAAACTCAGTCTATTAAGCTGTTTTGAAATTAATGTTATAGCAGTGGCAAGAGGTCTTAGGCACAGCAATATGGTTTTATGCTAGAGGATCTTTGTGCAAAGGAGAATGTCTCCATAACTCCCAGTTTAATATTTACTCTTGAAAAGCACATGTACCTGATCCAGCAAATGCACATGGGGCTAAGGTCCTTTTCCTTTGCCATCATTTAGAAAAGAGGATTTCTAAACATTCTATCAATGTTGACAAATCCTTTGAAAAAATACTGGAGGGTTTTATATGTGAATCAAAATTGACATATACTTTATGCAAATGTTTGCTTAAAAGCTGTGCACATTGTCTTTGCCTTAAATGGCATGGTTCTGGATAAATACAGTGTGTGCAGATACCTTTGTAGGTCAGGAATCTGACTTGCCAAATATATTTGTAATCCTGAAATAAGGAAGAACACTTCAATCATAGAG